CAGAACAGCACCAGCTCAGTGCAGATCGTATTTGGATGTGATGATTTTCACACGCACAATGTGTACATTCGCGTGCCCATCACGATTAGGGTAGAGAATGTTCAGTCACCTTTTAGAGCCACATCTCCCCCAGCCCGGTTCCCGGCAACCACTGGTCCGTTCTGCCTCCCTCTTAATGTTTTCATTTGTAGAGTGTTAATTAAATGGAGCAATACTGTACGTAGCCTTTTGAGACAGGTGTGGTTTTTTTTTCCCACTCAGCATAATTCCCTTGAGATCCATCCAGCTCTGTTCTTTGTGACCGCCGAGCGGTTTTCCACTGTTGGGATGGATGGGGGACGGCAGGCCCCACTCACCTGTGGAAGGACAGGTGGATGGTTCCGAGCTTGGGGCTACTGTTCATCAAAGGGCTGTGAACGCTTACAATCAGGCTGGTGTGTGAATATGTTTGCACTTCTCTAGGACAGATCTGCAGGCCAGTGATGCTGGGTTTTACAGTAAATGTATGACTTTATAAGAGACGGCCAAACTCTTTCTCAGAGCATCTGCGCTCTTCTCCATCCCACCGGCCGTGTGTGAGTGGGGACCCAGGAGCCTCACGCCCTCGTCAGCCCTTGCTCAGCATTCTTATTTCAGGACCTCTTTAATCTAAAGCCAGTGTTCGTTGTCTTTGTCATAAACAAGTGGGTTTGAAATCACAGCAAACCAACACACAGCCTCCTCCCTGTGCTTCCAAATGCCTCCTACGCTCATAACTACTAAGGGCTGAATGCCCAGGTTGGATCTCAGTTGACAGAAATATCAGTCCAGCCTGTGAGTCTACGTCACGTACGATCTCAGTCACAAACAGTCGTATCTGCGGAGTATTTTTATTTGACACACGTTCTTTTAATGGCCAGTTTAAACAACCGTATTCCTAGTATCATCAATACAAGCGTAACAGAGAACTCGTTAACACGGCACCGCATCCAGTCGCCAAGCCACGGAAACCTGCCCTTCGAAAGCCACTCTGTTCGACTTCCTTGACAAATACACTTGGAAGCAAGGATCCCCATAAGGAAGCTCGGGGAGCCAGCGTCCAGCTGCCCTGACATGAGCGTTCAAGGCGGCCACGATTTCAGGAGATGCCTGTCTCTGTCCTCTTTTCAATTCCTGCAAAGTTATTTTGACTCTATTCGTTTCATCTTCCCAATGTTCCTTTATGTGTCTTAACGATTCACATATACCAGATCCGTTTCGGAAGGCTCGTTGCGACAAACATATTTTCAGTTATTGATAGTTCCTGCTGACTGAGGATAACACCCCTTCCCTCGCATGGTCAGACCTGTTCTGCTTTGACACGTCGTCGTGTTTCTCTCGACTCCGGTAGGTTAGGGTGAGGTCTGGCTTAGAGCAGACGCTATCCCGGTCCAGGGGCCCGTGGTTCATGCAGCCGGTTGAGGGGGACACCGAGGCTGTGGGCAGAGGCAGCTGAACCACAGGGACGGCCAAAGGTCCAGCGGCAAGAAAGGCATTTTGGTTCTATTCCATCAAAACATGCTTAGGAAGGTGTTTACCTGTCGGCTGCCCGTCCAACCTCCCAGCTGCTCAGGGGGTCACAGCCACGAGCAGGGGCCGCGCCTCCTTGACTTCTGCGGGGGCAGCGTGTCACCTCAGACAGCCGGTGCTGAGACTGTAGCTGTTCGGAGACGTTTCTGCGTCTCAGCCACTCTTGACCGTGACAACTGAGAGTCTACGGTTTGTTTGTTTTTTTAAGATTTTTATTTATTTATTTGAGAGAGAGAGACTGAGAGAGAGAGAGCACATGAGAGGAGGGAGGGTCGGGAGGGTCAGCAGGAGAAGCAGACTCCCCATGTAGAGCGTAGCGGTGCATGACGTGGAGGCAGATTCAGTTGAAAAACTGAACTTAGCATCAGCAGTGTATCTGCTATGAATATTTGTAAGAGCATTCTAGTCTTCGCACTGAGCGATGCTGATTTGTATGAGTTTTCCAGGGCTCCCTGTGATGACCCTGTGAAAATACTAAGCTTGCTTTACATTCTTATTAACGCTCTCACCTGTTCTCATAAAAAATTAACAGGTGTCCTTTCAGAGGCTGTTTTGCAAATCGCTTTTGCTCAATAGATGGTTTTGTAAATCAGCTTTGCTCATCAGGTGGCATGGAGGGCTCAGCATGACACCAGTGTTCTGCTCTAAGTTCTGATATGGTTGTACCTGGATTTTGTGGGATCGAAAAACTGTTACGATATTTGTATAATTTCTGGAGTCTGCTTTTATGAGAAATTGCATCTGCCACCTTAGTGTATCTAAGAGAATTCTCATCTCTATTTCATCAACATCCCCATTTCAGTTTCTTAAAAAACCACCCATAGGTTGGTAAATTTTCAAAAATTTAAATTGCATGCAATACCAGTTAATTCTGATCAGAAAGTAACAACTGCAAATTGAAACTGAGATCAAATTGATGAAATCCACCTAATGAAAAAAATGTACAATAAGTAGACTTTTACCACCTCAGTTTTAAGATTAAAATTCTTTTTTTTTTTTTAAAGCTTTTATTTATTTATTTGACAGAGAGAGACACAGCGAGAGAGGGAACACAAGCAGGGGGAGTGGGAGAGGGAGAAGCAGGCTCCCCGCCGAGCAGGGAGCCCGATGTGGGGCTCCATCCCAGGACCCTGGGATCATGACCTGAGCCGAAGGCAGACGCTTAACGGCCGAGCCACCCAGGCGCCCCTAAGATTAAAATTATTCAAATGGGGATAAAGGTTGCATTACATAATTATGGATGACATATCATTATGACTAAATATTCCAAAATAATTTTAATTTTGTGTATCTCAGTAACAACATGTTTTTAGTTAGGGAACTATTTATTTTTATGTTCAAGAAGTATATTCTAATGTTTGAATTCATATTTTGAAGAACATTATTTAAAAAAAAAAAACCCAGGGGAAAAAAACAGAACACATCCTGATGATGGATACTCAAAGCAGCCACATTGTGATACAATGTTTGACACCTAATATAATCGATCCATTTATTGATAAGTTATCAATACAAGATATAAATTGATACGCTCTTTTTCATTACTTCATTTGTTACCATGCAATGTAACAGGCCAAAAGTGAAAGTTCTTCGTAAGTGGGAATTTGATTAAAAAAAAAATGGAGTATTCTTTTTGGTAAATACATTTGCATTTGAAAATTGAACCTTTAGGGCGCCTGGGTGGCTCAGTAGGTTAAGCAACTGCCTTAGGCTCAGGTCATGATCCTGGAGTCCTAGGATCGAGTCCCACATCGGGCTCCCTGCTCAGCGGGGAGTCTGCTTCTCCCTCTGACCCTCCCCCCTCTTGTGCTCTCTTTCATTCTCTCAAATAAATAAAATCTTAAAAAAAAAATTGAACCTTTAGGGGCACCTGGTTGGCCAGTCAGTTAAGCGTCTGCATTTGGCTCAGGTCATGATCCCAGGGTCCTGGGATCGAGTCCTGAGTTGGGCTTCTGAGTCGGGCTCCCTGCTTAGCAGGCAGCCTGCTTCTCCCTCTCCCTCTGCCGCTCCCCGCGCCCCCCATGCTGGTGCTCTCACTCTCAAATAAATAAAATCTTTTTTAAAAATAGAAACTTTATGTTCAGCTCCTGAGAATAACTAAATAACGCTCATGAATAAAAAAAGAAATAATTTTATTCCTTTATTAGATATTATCATCAAACTGTTCTCATGTGTTTAACATATTTAGTGAAGGAAAAATCTCTCTACTGCTGAAACTACTTGGTCTAGGCTCTGAGTGCACACACATGGGGAGGAAGGAAACCCAGGGCGACATACACTGGCAGGAGGGGTCTGGGGGACCCTTGGGGGGGGGGAGGTCACAGGAAAAGTCATGCACCTGACGTAGGAGGTGTTGTTTTGGATCCCGGGCACATCCAGGCCAGGAAAGATTGGAAAAGCGGAGGTCTGGGGCTCCAGCACCAGGACCGTGACCTCTAAGGAGCAGTCTGGGGCTCAGTCACAAGCTGGGTGAGACTCCCCAACAGAGAGCTGCGGAATGAGACAGGGCAGACGGAGGAGAGGGAGGGAAGAAGAGAGTGACAGAGGAGGTTGTGTGCATCCCTGCGTCTGCAGCGCCCCAGACGGGGGTTGGCACGGAATAGGAGCCCAGTTCCTGCACGCAGGCGGCTGGCCGAGTGAAGGAACGCTCTCAGTGCAGCCTTGGTCAAGTCCCTTCCTCTGTTGACTCCGTTTCCCTCTGCGAAAGGGCAATAGCAGCCTGGCTCGGCGGGCGTGGCGGGCCGCTGGTGTCCGCTGGAGGGCGAAAGGCGCTAAGCCTGCCCAGGACCAAGGCCCGGCCCCCTCCGCGGTCGCTGCAGAGCGCGCGGGATGCGCGGGGCGGACAGGGCGCGCGCGGGGAGGCAAGGGGTCCTGTGCCCAGAGCAGAGGCACGGACGCGGCTGGGGAGCCTGGGGTGGCCCCCGGGCACAGAGCCTGCGGCGCGGAGGGCGCGGGGCGCACTCGGCTCCGCCAGAGACCCGTCCGGGACGCGGGAGGTGGGGGCGGGAGTAACAAGGGGGAAGGAGCGAGGGGCTGGGGAGATGGTTCTGAGAGACCCGGGGCGGCGCAGACTTTGGAACGGGCCCCGGGTAGGTGCGCCTGCGGACGGAGGCGCACGCCGAAGCCCGCGCAAAGAACGGCGCTGCCCCCTCTCGCCCGCAGCCGTGGGCGCGCCTCTGGCCGGGGCGGCGCGGGAAGGGCTGGAGAGTCAGACGGTGCCGGGGCTCAGGACGCTCCTGGAGCGCCGCGCGAGGCGCTGGAGTCCGCAGGCGCCTCCCGCCGCCGCCGCGTGGAGGGGTCGGGCAGGCGCGCCCCGTGACCGCGGGGCGGCCCCGCGGTGGGGGCGGAGTTGGCACGGCCCCCCAGGCCGCGCGGACTGCGTCCCCTTCTTAAGCCGGCGGAGCCTCGCGCTGCCCCTCGCCCGCCTCTCCCGCGGGTCTCCCTCCCGCGCTATGGCCTCGGCGCTGAGCTATGTCTCCAAGTTCAAGTCCTTCGTGGTCTTGTTCATCACCCCGCTGCTGCTACTGCCGCTCGTCATTCTGATGCCCGCCAAGGTTAGTTGCACCTCCGCGGACCCCGGGCGCCCTGTGCCAGCAGCGGGCACCAACGCGGGGGCCCTGAGCCGGAGCGCTGAGCTGGGCGCGCACTCGGGAGCTCCGGGCGCCAGACAGAGGTGCCGACAAAGCACTTCAAGGGGCGCGGAGACCCGGGGGCGCACGGACCTTGGGGTTCACTGATCCCCGGCCCGAGGACCTAACCCGGTGAGCCCTGGAACCTAGAAGTTAGCACAGATCTTGGCCACACAGCCCATGCATAGGCTCAGCCCTGGCTCAGAATCTCTTCAGACTGAACCACCTCATGCCTCCCCTTCACCCCCAAATGTCACCAGTGCCCGCAGGGAGCCTGGGCGCCTGTCTTCCCTCCCTCTCGTCCTGGCTCTCCCTTCAGCAATCGAGGACTTCCCAGCTGTGCGTGGGCTCCGAGGTCAATCAAGGACCCATACAAAAAGATCACCACCTAAGTGGATCCCGAGTGCTGTCTTTTCCACTCCCTGGCCCCCTCTTGAGCCTCAGTTTCCCCATATGTGATCCACATTTCTTCCCTGCTCCCAAGCCCTGGAAGGCACAGCTGAGTCCAAATCCTCTCCTGGCTGAAAGGCGGATCCAAGTTGGCCTTCTCCGCCCGCCCGCGGCCTGCGACGTCTGGGCAAGAGGCAGCCGAGTTCCCAGGCTCGCGCCTTGGGTGGCACGACCCAGGGCTGCAGGGGAAGCCGTGTCCCTCGCCCTGCTGCCCAGCGCTCCCGGGAGGGAGGCCGAGGATGAATGGCCTTGGCCGCAGGGCGGGGGCGGGGCCGGGAGTCCAGGCCGGGCTGGCTGCGCTGGGCTGTGGGAGCCCATTTGGCAGAGGCCCGAGCCCTTTGAAGCCTTTTGTGGCTGCTGGCTGTTCCTTCCTCCTTCCCCCTTTCAGCGCCTTCTCTCTGAGCCCAGACAGGAAACCTCCTGCACCCCCTCTCCCCCGCCTCCGCCCCGGCAGGTTTGGGAAACAGAGGAGCTCTTGAGGGGATGCTCTGTGGGCAGCCCTGGGGGAGGGGGAGTCAGGAAGCCCACCTGCATGAGAAGGGTACTTCCACCATTCACTCGTCTTTGTGACTTTAGCCACCATCCTGTGCTTTCTGGGGCTTGGCATTCGCATCTGTACAACGGGCAAGGAGGTGTGGTTCCCACGCTTTATGACTTAGGGTGCCCAAAGTGATAATGCCAGTTCCTAGGATGGGAGGAGGGGAGGCTGGGAGGACCCTTGGGTGGGCTGAGCAATCCTGGTGGGGCCAAGGACAGCAGATCTAGCTGGGGGCGCCCCCTCCCCGGTGCCGCCCCAACTGTGAGCCGCCTTATTTCCTCTGCAGAAAGGGAGGGAGCCAGGCAGGAGAGCTGATCTTAGTTCTCCTGGCAGGGAGTGATGTTCCCTGGAATAATGATGACCTTCCTGCTCAGGGGGAGCGTGACCGAGACCCCACTCCCACCCTGACATACATACCCGTGTGTATGCATGCAGGTGGGTCCTGAGCCGGGACCCTCAACTCAGGTGTGTATGCTGGTCAGTAACCTGCCCTGGGAGTGAGATCAGGCCAGGGAAGGAGGGAGAGTCGTTCCAACGGTGGCCTTCAGGTGCTTTCCCTCTGGGTGGATCAGGCGCCTGGACCCCTGTGTTCTTGTGTTTTTGGCTTTGTGCCTCTTGTTTTGGTCACCACGAAAGAGCTCCCACCCCCACCCCCATGGCGGGCCGCACCGTCGTGCAAGGAAACCCAGAAGTACCTGGCATGGGCAGGGCTTCCGGGAAGCCAGCAGGCTCTTGGCAGTGTGGGCGGCCCCGTCTGAGTGGGGCAGTGGCTCGATTGCGGGCCCCTCTGCTGGTGCGGGGCCCCCAGCAGCTCTCCTCTTATTCCCCCTTGTTCCCTTGCCGGCTTCATCTCTGCTTCACTTTTTCTGCCTTTTCTCTGGGTCCTTTCTTTAGAAGATCGCTCTTTAATGAGATAGACAATACATTCATGGTACTGTTTATTAAAATTATTTAAAAACTATTGTTTCCAAGGTCTGCAAAGTATGGAGTAAAAATGAAAATGCCCTCAAATGCCGTAACTCACACCCACACGCAGATATGCTCCCTCACCCACATTTTCCCGAAGCGCTGTGTCCTGGACACCCTTGCTTGTTAATAATTACACAAATAACGAGCTACGGTTTTAGTTAGTTGTGCACTGAACGTATAGCTGTTGAGCCTCACTAGGCGCTGGGTGCTGCCCTGTCAATCCACTGTCCACCTCCCTCTCGGCATTAAGCGCTCTTCCAGACGCATCCCCAGCTGGTTATGTGTGGCGCCTCCAGGAACCGTGCCTTGAAAATTGGCGACACACGCCACTGTTTCTGAGTTTAGATGATAAAGGCCACCGAGCACTTTCTGTACACAATATGTTGGTGGGTACTCTTGAGGGAACAAGGCAGGAGGGGGCTGGGGCTGGGAGCCCGGGGAGTATTTTATCAGTGACGTTGTTGAGAAATGCTATGGCACAATGATGAGAAAGAGGAGGATTTGTGGACTGTGTTGCTGGGTTTTTTTTAAAGATTTTATTTATTTGGGAGAGAGATGGAGCACAAGCAGGGGGAGTAGGCGAGGGACAGGGAGAAGCAGGCCTCCCGCTGAGCGGGGAGCTCGATGTGGGGCTCGATCCCAGGACCCTGGGATAACAACCTGAGCCGAAGGCAGACGCTTAACGACTGAGCCACCCAGGCCCCTGTTTTTAAATTCTCTATGATGCACCCCTTTATTGGCTGCCCCTGGAGGGGATCATTCCTACTTTCCCCCGCTCCCCAGTCCAGCACCAAGGTCCAGCCTTGGGACATGTGGGACGCTGACGGCCAGACAAGGGCAGACAGCGGACGGGGATCAGCTGTGTCTGGTGGCCAAGCCCGGGCTTCCAGCCGCACCGCGGTCCTGCCTGGAATCCCGTGGCTGCAACCAGCACTGACCCCTGCAAACCCTGAGCAAAGTCTGGAGACACTTTGTACGGTTGCAGCTGGAGAGGGATCTCCTGGCGTCTGGTGGGGCAGGGGCCACGGAGGCAGCACCCAGCACTGCTCCGGCTGGCTCCCCGCCGCAGAACATCAGTGCCAAAATACCAGCTTCGGACACTAGGCAGGTGCCCTGGGGCGCTCCTGGGAGGCCGAAGGATGGCTTCTCTTTTGTGACTGAGAGCACAATCCAGATGAGGGATTTCCGGGTCTTTGTGCAATGTTCCGTGCTCGCAGTAGGTGCTCTGGTGGGAGACAGGAGAGTGAGGGTGCACACGTGCGCTTGCCGTTGGGGTGACAGCTCGGCCCTGCCGTCCCGCTCCCCTCATAAGCGCTCGGGCAGCGTCTCCCGAGGCACTGTCCTGCGTGCCGAGGACAGTGAATCCCCTAACATGGGTTCTCTCTGGTTGCTCACTGTTGGGTGTGCGTGCTGTGTGGGGGCCAGACAGGGGCAGCCCGCAGGGTGGGAACTGCTGGGGACACAGAGCCAGGCTGGGCGGGTGGGGTGAGGGAAGGCGCCGAGGAGAAACCCGGAGCCGGGCGGCCAGCGCTCCCTCCAGGCCTGGGGCAGCCTGCGCCAAGGCGCGGGTGACCCAGAGCCCAGCCTCAGGCACTGCCAGTGGAGTGTGGGGACTCGGGTGCCAGTGGGCAGGGAGGGGGGCTGGACCGGTCTGCACGGCCTGCTTCTCGCAGAGGGTCTCCCGAGTCATGCTGAGGCGGTTGGGTTTGTCCTGAAGAAGCCTTTGGAACAAGGGAATGACCGGAACTGATTTGCAGATTGAAAGAGGGAGCCACGCGGTGCCGGGCGTGGGGAGGTCAGCATGGGAGGCTCCAGGTGGGAGGCGCGGCGGGCGCGGTGAAGGTGCGAGGGAAGGTGCTGGAGAGTCAGAGGTGGGAGCTGTAGCGTTGGAGGCTGATTTGGTGGCCGGGACGCTCAGGCACATCAGCCTGCAGGGGCGCCCAAGCCTCCACACTGGGAGAGTCCTGGCGGAGGGCGACAAACAGAAGGGCCGTGTGGGTGCTGTCGGCCCGGAGAGCGTGCAGCCGCCCAGCACCACGAGGACACTGCGTGGAGAGCCCGGGGAAGATGCAAACCCAGAATTCTAAGCAGGGCTCCTGCCGCATGCATAACGGCTTCCACACACTGTAGGGTAGGAGGATGGCCAGGTGGAACCCTCAGAAGTGGGGGGGGTCTGTACTAATCTCCTCCCCACCCGCTCTTCCACACCCTCCCCTCCTGCTCTTTCCTGGGGAGGTGGAAGGGCGGGCTGAGCATGCAGCTGGGAGGCAGGGGCAGGAGGCCCTTGTGAGCGGGTCCTGGGCCTTCCTGACCCGTGCTGACCAGGCGGCCATGGGCATTCCCTCTGATGCCGCCGCCCTGCTCTGGCCACGCGAGCCGGCCGCCTCCCCAGCACGCTGTGGTGGGAAGGGGGGTGCCAGCCCGCGGAGGTCTCAGGGCTGTCTCTGCAGTTCGTCAGGTGTGCCTACGTCATCATCCTCATGGCCGTCTACTGGTGCACCGAAGTCATCCCTCTCGCTGTCACCTCCCTCATGCCCGCCTTGCTCTTCCCGCTCTTAAAGATTCTGGACTCCAAGCAGGTGAGCAGCCCCGGGCGGCTATTCCCGCCATGGTGCACCCTCCAAGCCCCTCTCAGAGCTGCCTGGGCCGCGGGGGACCCCATGCGTCTGGCACAGACGCAGACCACGTGACCTCCCCTCCCCACTCCAAGTGGCCCCTGGAGTCGGCATCTAGTCGGTGCACCCATCTCGGGGACTGGGGGCCCCGAGGCCGCCCTGACAGGCCCCATGCTGTCCCTCAGGTGTGTGTCCAGTACATGAAGGACACAAACATGCTGTTTCTGGGTGGCCTCATCATGGCGGTGGCCGTGGAGCGCTGGAATCTACACAAGAGGATAGCTCTGCGCACGCTCCTCTGGGTGGGGGCCAAGCCTGCACAGTGAGCACGCTTTCTCTCTCTGGCCCCGGGGACAGGCGGGGAGGTGGCTCAGACCAGATCACCCACAGGCCAGCGATGGCCACTGGCTTTCCTGGGCTTGGCAGGCAGGTGGGCCCCTGGATGGGCACGTGACAGTCTCAGCTGGGTGACCAGAGGGGTGTGTGAGCAGCAGTGGGTAAGGGCTCTTTGAATGCCCCAGGGAGACTCGGCAGCGAAAGCCCCCGCACATTCAGAAGACTTCCTAGAGGTGGGGCTGCAGCTTCCCCAAGAAACAAGGTGGGTGGGGGCTGGATCAAGCCCTGCCTGAAACCCCTAGGGCTTTTGTGCAGAAAGCAGGAAAGGGTTGTCTTAACAATCCAGCTCAGGGGAAACAGAAAGGTCATCCCTCCAAAGCTGGCACATGTATTCCACCCCCCCACAAAGAATCCCCTACCTCGCTTTCCCCCACATCACTCCATCCCTCAGCTTCTCACGGCTCTGCAGGACCTCCCCTGCCCACCACAGGCCACTTCCAGCCAGCCCATGGAGAAGATGTGAGCTGAACCCCTGGGTGTCGAGAGCACCTGCAGGACCCCTGGCAGACAGAGCGGTTTACTTGGGTGGGGGGCAGGGGTACTATCCCTGCCACCATGTTCTAGAGCCGAGGAAGGGCTGAATAATCTGCCGATGGGCACATGGGGACAGGACCGACCGGTCTGAGCCTCGCCCCTTGCACTGGGGACTCGGGCTGCTCCTTTTTTCGGGGGCAGTGTGGTCCCTCAGGGATGGCATGTCCCCAGCTGGGTCCTGGGAAGCCCCAGTTGGTTACTTCATGGCAGAGCCCTCCTGGGACGTCCGTGTGCCGGGGACCGTGCCTCCGGGAGACCACGGCCGCAACCATGAAGGGCTTGTGACTCCCTGACCTGTTACGCTCCGTGACCTCGAGCCACGGAGGGTTTACAGGGCCAAATGAAGGGCCACTGTGTGTTCTAGAGACTCAAGACCTCAGGGTGACAGCATTCTCCCCCTCGGGATCCTTGACGGCTCTTCTCTGTCAGTGGGTGGGCCTCGTTCTCGGGTGCCACTCAGATTCGGCTCCCAAATCCAGGAAGGTCACACACACTTCGGCTCCCGCTGCGAGCTCGGCTTGAGCCGTCCTGGGGGCTGCGGGGGCCTTTTAGTTGAGCCCCGCTGGGGCTGTGAAGCACCATGTCATTCATTCATGCAAACTCTGGCCCTGCTCCTGGCCTGGGTCCCAGCCTTTGATCTTACGGGTCCGTGAGGTCTGCCGACATGGACAGCAGCTTGAACCTTGGTGCAGTGCGCAACCCTGGACCCCTTCCTCGGGCCGATCGGTGACCTCGGGCAGGCGCCTGGCCCAGACGGGCATGGAGACCACGGAGCAGAATCAGACCCTTCCCCAGCTCACGGTAGAAGGAGGGAGCAGGCGTGGAAACAGTTCCTCCAAACCCAGTGGGGGACGCGCATCCGAGCGAGGGTGGAGGGGGTGTGCTCATCCCTAGCTGCCGCGCGGGGAGGGAAGCCACGGGGAAGGGATGTCATGGGACAGGTTCTGAAGGCCACGAGGCGGTCATCTCTCGTGGGGGACAGAGGTGGACACTGGGGGACCATGGGGTGTTACAAGTGAGGGGAGCACGTTTCCTGAACGGTTTCTGGACCTGGTTCCCCGCCACGTGGAGGTGGCAGTGTGCATGCATGGAGAGAGGTGGGGTCAGCCCGGAGGGAAGTCCCGCTTCCCGGGGCCCCTTCCGTGGCTCGCCCTTGCCAGGTGGGAGCTCCTTACAGCCGTGACTGGGTCTCAGGCCTCTCGGTGCCCAGGAGCCAGCCAGGGACATCAGGAATGCTTGTAGGGGAGAGGTGGGGGGGAGGCCCCACGTTGTACTCCCCCCACCCCCGCCATGATCCAGTCTTGAGCTGACCATGGTCGGTGGCATCCCTGCAGGGGGACCCAGCCCCCGTGGCTCCCTGGGGGATTCTCTGGCTTTCCTCCCCTTCCCTCCTCTGCAGGCTGATGCTGGGCTTTATGGGCGTCACTGCCTTCCTGTCCATGTGGATCAGCAACACGGCCACCACGGCCATGATGGTGCCCATCGTGGAGGCCATGCTGCAGCAGATGGAGGCCACCAACGCGGCCACCGAGGCCAGCCTGGGGGGCCTGGAGCTGGCAGACAAGGGCAAGCCCGGTGAGCTGCCAGGTGAGCCCTGGCCCGGGGGCTGCGGGGGCCCACGAGGGCAGCTGTCCTCTCTGCCGCCTGGAGCCCTCCCTCAAACAGGGGAAACACTTAGAAAATGCTGCTTGGGTTTTAACCTTGAGGAACGTGGCCGTTGCATAAAAGTTAGATCCTGCAGTAGAGCTCACAGCAAGATCCCACGCGTGGTTCCTGCCAACCGCAGAAACCAGTGCCGTCACCGATTATTCCTCTGGGCATCTTTTGAGCACCTACTGGGTGCCTCTCACCTCTCCGCTCCCACAGGTGTCGGGGTGGGGGCCCCACGTTGGCTTCCCGTCGAGGTCCCGAGCTCAGGATGCTCAGAGAGCGCCTGCTTTATTCTCGGCCCCTTCACACCCCGTCCCCAGGGCTGCGCTCAGCCGGCTGGATCCGGCTACAGGGGTGCAGCGGGCTGGGGACCAGGCACCTGGCGGGCTGGCCCGTCCCATCCTCAGGTCAGGGCAGGGTCAGGAGCTGGAGCTGGAGGCCCGCACCGGCTCAGCCCACGGCGTGCCCCCCACAGGGAGCCAAGCGACCTTTGAAGGCCCCCCCGAGGGGCGGCAGGCTGACCGGGACAGGAGGAGCATGAGCAAGGCCATGACTCTGTGCGTGTGTTACGCGGCCAGCATCGGGGGCACCGCCACACTGACGGGGACGGGACCCAATGTGGTGCTTCTGGGCCAGATGCATGAGTGAGTCGCGGGCACGCGAGGAGAGCTGGGGCTGGGGCACCCCCACCTTTCCTTCCTGCTGCAGCCCCGCACCTGCCAGGGCCCCACAGGCCTGCTTGCTTTCTGCTCTGGGGCGAGTCCTGCCCTTCTTCCCCGGCGCTCGCTCCGAGAGAGACTGTGCACCAAGCACCGAGCTGAAATCGTGGGAAATGACCCTGGTCCTGGGTCACAACTTGCAGAAAACAGACATCCCCTCACTGCTGGTTTGCTGACCTTGGTTGTGAACAGCGGTGCCTTACGGCGTCAGCGAAGGGCTAGGGGTCAGGTTACTTGTTGCCTCTACGTGCCCTTGGGGGGGCCCGGGTGGACACAGGGCTGGTCGGCACCTTCCCGCCTCGGCCACAGAGGGACACAGAGCGTGTGCGGGTGGGGCCGGTCCCATCCGTGGGGCACTCAGGGTCAGCGGACGGCTGCCCTTGCAGGGTCCCGGGCAGGTGGCCCGAGGGTTCCGGGGCAGATGGAGCCCTGGACCAGGCAGCCAAGGCCGCTGGGAGGTGGGCAGGAGCCCAGCCCGCAGACGCTTGAGGTCCACCACGCAGGCGGTTTTGATCTTGAGAGGACTCCCTGTAATGATAGACTACGGCTCTCCCTGACGTCCGTCGGGGCAGCGTGGGGACCCGCGGGCCGAGGGAGCCGGGCCTGGGGCTGGAGAGCGGGGCCTGCAGCACGAAGGACCCTCCGCCAGCCCCAGGGAAGGACCCCCACCCCGTCCCGCCTCCGGGGAGCTCTGGAGACTCACTTTCCCCGGGGAGTGAGGCGTCCGGGAGCCCTGAAGCTCGGGCTCGGCTTCCGTGGGTGTGAAGGTGTGTTACTTTGGAGGGATGGGCACCGACTTCTGCAGGGCCCCAGTGGGGTCTGGACCCGCAGGCAGGGCGGCCGGCCGCTCCTCGGGCCTGTTTTGCGTATGGCCAGGGGCCCAGCTGCTGCTCTAGGCCCCGGCGTGGAGGTGGGCCCAGCGTCTCTCCCTTCATTCAGGCTGTTTCCTGCCAGCAAAGACCTGGTGAACTTTGCCTCTTGGTTTGGGTTCGCCTTCCCCAACATGCTGGTGATGCTGCTGCTGGCTTGGCTGTGGCTCCAGGCTGTGTACCTGAGGTTCAGGTGAGCGCGCTCTCATCAGGCACCCCTGCCCCCCGCCCCCCGCATCCCTGTGGCACGCCCAGACGCGGCGGCGCACTCTTCCTGCCTGGCCCCGGCCATTTCTCCGGCACCCTGCTAGTCTGGCTGCCCCCGGCCGCTCGCACCTCCCCACCTGCTGTCCTTCTTGCTGGGAGGCCATTCCCTACCTTCCCGCCTTCTGGGCCCTCGGCCTCGAGGCCAGCTCCGACCGGCTCCCCCGCAGGGACACCGCCCGACGCCCTACCCCACTGCGTTTCCCACGAGCTGCTCACTGGGGCCTCCCTCGGGCCCCGCCCGGCCCCCGGGGGTGGGGGGACGAGCAGTTGCGGGCCAAAGCAGCTGAGGAGACCCCCGGCCCCTGTGCACACCTACACTTGGCCACCAGTGCCTGTCAGTCCTCTCGGGGCTCCAGCCTCAGGACCTCATCTGGACCTACTTACCTGCAAAAGTCTCACTTCTGCTGCCGTCACCCTGGGGCATGGGTATTCAATTTGTGAGCGTGCGGGGACAGAGTTTAGTCCATAAGGGTCCCCTCTTGGGGAGACCGAGGCCTGCTGGCCTGGACCGTCCTGAGGCCCAGGGACAGCAGGTGTCGGGGGCACCAGGTGTGGCCCCCCGCAGCATGAGGTGGGGGGCTGCCCTAAAGCCCCGAGGCCCACTGAGTCCCCTGCACGGCGAGCAGGGGGCGCCGGGCTGGCCCCAAGGCCACTGGGGCACCGCTAGCCTCTGGGGGTCTCACCGTCAGGAACCCTGCCCGGCCTTCTGATGGGGGAGCCCTCCTGCGGCTTTGTTCAGCCAGCCAGCCTCGTCAGCTCAGGGGCCCTTGCCGACCCCACATGGAGCATGGTGGGGGGGCAGCCCCCAGGAAGCCTTGATTGGGAGAATAGCAGCGGATGTTCTGGGGCCCCTGCCCCCAGGCCTTGTAGAAGCAGCACCGGCCTCAGCTGTGTGTGGGGGGGTCCTTTCTGTCACCCTCACTCGGGTCCCTCATCTGAGCAATGTCAGGGTGGCTGCCTCTAACCTCATCCAGGAAAACTACCTTCCTGGGTTCACAGACGGCCTCTGAGGCCACGTCCAGCCACAGGGGCCACCGGTCCCCCAGAACTAACAGGACATCACCACTGGCTTGCATCCAGCTTTGCTAACCACGCTGTCCCCTGGATCAGGGATGGGGGTCCTTCTGGACCCCTGCCCTCCCATGAAGTCTGCCCCAGGGCCCAGGAGGGACTCCCAGCAGGGAGGGCTCTCTGGGGACAATTCTCCTGGCCTTCAGGCTGCCTGGGGCCGGAATGCCCAGACACTCCTGCGGACCATCCTGGGCACCGGTGGCCCTCCCCATGGCCGAGGTACCCTCAGCACCTGTCCACAGACCCCTCCTCCTCCCTAACCCTCATGCCAGCACCCCAGGGGAGGTCCTGCTGGGCAACCTGGGCAGGCTGTGGGTGGCCATGGCCACTGGTCCCCGGGGAGCCCCCAAGGGCAGGGCCATCCGACACCTGTGCCCCCTCCGACCACAAGCTAACCCCTGCTTCTGCCTGGCCCCGGCTTCTTAGACCCGTCCTTGTTCTTTGTGTCCTCTTGAGCCACCCCCATGATGGGGCTTGGCATCTCAGCTCCGGGCCCCGGTGGGACCAGCCCCAGGTGAGGAAGCACCCCCCACCCCGAGCTGGCTCTCGATATTCTCCCGGCCATCCCCCGGATGATGGGAGCCGCTGGTTCCCAGGCGACCAGGCACCTGCCACGTCCCCCTGACCAGGGGCGGCCCCACCTCTGCCGATTTCTGCCTCCTTGGCCCTGAGACCCCATCCAGCCTGGCTGCCCCACTCTGTGTGCCCCCTGGTTCTGGGGGTACCGTGGGCCATGCGCTGGGCACACATCACAGACACTGTCTCCCGCCGCGTTCTGCGAGGTAGCGTCGGCAGAGGATGGACACAGGACTGGGGAAGAGGCTCGCTCGAGGCTGCACCGCGTGCCCTTCGCCACGTCCTTCTGCCCAACGTCCAGGCTTCCATCTGACCATCCGACGGGCCCTGAGCCGACCAGCCTGCCTCACTGGCCTCTCGTCTCTGCACCGTCTAGTTTTAGGAAGTCCTGGGGCTGCGGGCTGGAGAGCAGGAATCACGAGAAGGCTGCCTACCAGGTGCTGCAGGAGGAGTACAGGAAGCTGGGGCCCTTCTCGTTCGCCGAGGCCAACGTCCTGCTCTGTTTCCTCCTGCTGGTCGGCCTGTGGTTCTCCCGGGACCCCGGCTTCATGCCCGGCTGGGTGTCGCTGGCCTGGGAGGAGGGCGAGACAAAGTAAGTCGCGGGCTGCTTCGTCCCACCTGAGTTCTGCAGCTCACTCTCTTCTCCCCGGTCCTCAAGACAAGCCCGCAGGTGTGTCCCCGCTGGCCAGGCAGGTGGCTGGGCTGACAGGGAGAGATTTGCTGAGCCAGGAGCTCCTGCTTCCAAATGTCTGCTCTGCCATCTTTCCTCCCTCTGAAGGCAGACGTCCGGGGCCCAGGCCGTCTGTAGAGACCGGGCGGAGAGTGTGTGCGCTCCTTCCCTCCAGGCTGAGCTGGTCTGGGGTCAGAAGGAAGCAAGGTTTCTAGACGAGGCAGGCGATGCGGGTTGGGGGCTGCCCGATGTTACACCTGCTGCATAGAAGTTCTGCTGCAGTTAGCAGCCGGGCCCTCGCAGGCCCCCCGGGGAACCCAGGATCCTAGACAGTCTGATGTGAACACGTCACGATGCTCGCCCCGGAGCCATTCAGACCCAGAGGGGAGCGAGCGGCTCAGGGTCACCCCGCTGGGGGCAGAGCGGGGCCGAGACGCAGCTGTCCCAGTTCCCAGCCATGGTTTCGTCCGTACGGCACTCCCAATGTGGGCCGTTGGTGTTCCATCCTCGCACTCAGCGCTCCTGTGGACACAGAGTAGGTTTGTTGAATGGAGGCCCCAAAGCCGAGCTGGGCATGTCCTGTGTGCTCTCGCCTGTAGGTACGTGTCTGATGCCACCGTGGCCACCTTCGTGGCCACCTTGCTGTTTGTCATGCCCTCGCAGAGGCCCCAGTTCAACTTCCGCGGCCAGACGGAGGAGGGTAAGGCTCCGTCCTGGCCCCTCACTCATTGGGGTGGGGCCCCGCGGGAGGGAGCCCGCCCTGTTGGAGAGGCCTGGCTTGATGGTCCCGGCGGGGGGCGTTCCGTCCAGGCAGGGGGACGGTCGTCAGCCCTTCCGCGGGGACTGTTCAGCGCAAACTCTCTTCTCTTGTGCTCTTTACACGTTGGAAATCTTATCAATATCACAACAGGAGCAGAAGAACGTTCCCGGTTTCCCGCAGTGCCGTCTGTGTATTTTTGACTTCTCTCTCCCTGACTTTGCTAGGATGCATGTGTATACATGGCTGCAATCCACACACACACACACACACACACACACACACACACACACAGAGCTTGCATTCTGGTTCTCCGGCGTGTGGGTTTTCGTGTCTTTACGCTATGCACACGTCCTGTTAAAGACACAGCCTCCAACTTTATTTTTTCCAATAACAGCATCGTATCGCGTTGAGGGGCTGTTCTGTTCTCCTCTTATGGAACATTCTGGCTGTTTTTAATTTTTCGTTATTATGTCATATATATTATAACATATATTATTGTATGTTTTCACGTATATAGCTTTTTCTTTGAGGGTGTTTCTTTAGGATAAATTTCCAGGAGCAGTGTTATTGTCAGAGTTATATATGTCTTAATGGCTCTTAAAATGTGTTGCCAAATTGCTTTTCAAAAAGATTGTGCCAATTTCTATGCTGGCAGGAGTGTGTGGCATTTCTACCACATCTTTACCAGCAATAGGGGTCGTGATTACTGTGAGTTTTAGCTGATTTATGGATAGGAGAGCTGCCCGTTGTGCTTATGGGCTTCATTTCCCCTTGATTAGATCTCTTTTGTTTCCTGATTGGGCTCTGGGTTGTGTATGTGTGTTTTTATGGTTTCTTCTCAGAAAGGAAAACTCCATTTTATCCCCCTGCGCTGCTGACCTGGAAGGTGACCCAGGAGAAAGTGCCGTGGGGCATCGTGTTGTTGCTGGGGGGCGGCTTCGCGCTGGCCAAAGGATGTGAGGTAAGGCCCCCCGCTGCAGGCTGCAAGGGCCCCTCTTGCACAAGAGGGCGTCAGAGAACTTTGTCCCTCCACCCACACCACTGCATTGCGGGCTCTGGTCCTATGTCTGTCTGCTCCAGAGACCTGCAGGTGTCTTGAGGACAGGGACTCTGTCTTGTCACCAAGGAGTGGATGGACAGATGGATGGATGGATGGATGGACCTGGAATAGAGAAAGTGCTCTTTGAGCGATTACAGCAATGAATGAACAAGTGACCAGGAGAATAAGTTAGCCAAGAGAGGCGGAGTATGCTGTGAGGTCTCCTCTGGGGTTTGGCGACAGTGACCTCTGCTTTGATTTGTTCCGGGAGGTCTCTACCACACCATTTTGTTCTACTCACTGAACTCTTTGTTCAGATAGCTGACATTTAAACATTTTTTTCTCTATCTAAAAAAAATTTTCCTCTATCTAGGTATATAGCAGCACAGAAGGAGAGGAACAGCTTTTGGGAGAAAACACCCCAAAATGTAACTTTCTTACTTCCCCCCTTCCTCAATAGGGAAGAAATGAGGTGGATGGAGAGAGGTGCTACTATCTTCCATCCATCCACCCATCCTTCTACCCATCTGTCCATCCATCCATCCTTCCATTTGTTGATCCATCATTCCCTTCATCCATCCATCCATCCTGCCATCTGTCCATCCATCCATCCTTTCATCCATCCATCCATCCATCTTTCATCTGTCCATCTACCCATCCTTCCATCATTCATCCTTCCGTCCATCTATCCATCCATTCATCCATCTATCCATCCATCCATCATCCATCCATCCATCCTTCCATCCATCCATCCATCCATCCTTCTACCCATCTTCCATCCATCTATCCTTCCATTTGTTGATCCATCATTCCCTTCATCCATCCATCCATCCTGCCATCTGTCCATCCATCCATCCTTCCATCCTTCCATCCATCCATCCATCTTTCATCTGTCCATCTATCCATCCTTCCATCATTCATCCATCCTTCCATCTATCCATCCATTCATCCATCTATCCATCCATCCATCATCCATCCATCCATCCATCCATCCATCCATCCATCCATCCATCTGTCTATCTATCCATCTACCCATCCATCCATTCTTCCACCTGTCCATCCATCCATCCATCTGACTTCCATCATCCATCCATTTGTCCATCCATCCATCCTTTCATCCATCCATCCATCCATCTTTCATCTGTCCATCTATCCATCCTTCCATCATTCATCCATCCGTCCATCTATCCATCCATTCATCCATCTATCCATCCATCCATCATCCATCCATCCATCCATCCATCCATCTATCCATCTGTCTATCTATCCATCTACCCATCCATCCATTCTTCCACCTGTCCATCCATCCATCCATCCATCTGACTTCCATCGTCCATCCATTTGTCCATCCATCCATCCCTTCATCTATCCACCCAGGAGTAGAAGGTCATAGACAGACTTGGTCTATCTTGTTTCTGCTATTCCTTCAGCATTTAGAATGGAACCCAGTGAATAATAGGAACATAAATATCTTTTAGATGAATAAATCCATCCATCTGGTCACCTCTCCATTCAGTCATCCATCCATCTATCGTCTCTCATTCATTCATTCATGTATTCATTCATCAGACATTCCTATTATGTCCATGTTAGATCAGGCCTGGGAATGACAGAGGAAGTTGATAATGTTCCTGCTCTGAGGCCTTTGCAGCCTGGAGAGAAAGTCATATCTGGAAAAGCATGTCAGGAAGACTTGACACCTGAGCGAAGGAATAAGCATGCAGTATCTAGCTCAGGAGCAGCAGAAGATGAGGCTGGTGCGGCTCAAAGAAGCCACTTCACTGAGAGTCAGGATAGGGGGTGTGTACTTCGTTCAGTGGGCAACTGTTGAAGGGTTGAGGCCGGAGTGACTCGGTCAGATCTACACATGGGGAAATCCCCTGATGTGTGGGGTGGAGACCCAGGCAGGGAAGGGCTGAGGGAGACCCAGGCAGTGCTCGGTACCTTCATCTAACTCATTCTCTCCTTCCTCAGACTCCCTCCCCCTCTAAACCCTCAGTTTCTGGCTCAGATTCCTTTCCTGAGCATCAAGAGCTACAGGAGGCTGGGAGGTGGTGAGACGTTCTGGGTGACTGGGTGGCTGAGTGGGCATAAGGAATAAGGGGGACAGGGCCCCCAGGGAGGCACCCAGCCCCCTAGGTTGGACAGCAGGTGGATGGGGAGCCCCGGGGAGCAGACTCTGGGCCAGAGAGGATGAATGCAGGCTGGGGCGTGTTGAGTGTGACTCTGGGCCAAAATTCGGTGAGTAGACTGGCCAGGCTGGAAACAGATTTAGGAGACAGCAGGGTGAGGATGGAGAGAGTCGGAAGCTCAGGAGGGGCTGAGCTCCCTGCAGAAGGACCGGGCTTGCTCCCGGCCCTCGGTGACTGCCCTCCCGTGCTTCCCAGGCCTCGGGGCTGTCCGAATGGATGGGGAAGCAGATGCGGCCCTTGCACTCTGTGCACCCTGCCGCCATTACCTTGATCCTGTCCCTGCTTGTTGCCGTGTTCACGGAATGCACAAGCAATGTGGCCACCACCACCCTGTTCCTGCCCATCTTTGCCTCCATGGTAAGTGACCTGCCGGGGAGATGACCCCCAGCCCTCATGTCACAGGAAGCCGTCAACCCGGGACCACATCCTGGGTCCATAGAGGGACAGTGAGACCGGGGGCCAGAGCCCAACCACGCTTCCGAGGTCCTTCTCTGTATCCCCCATGCTCACCGAAGTGCAAAGCAAGAACCAGGCACTCAGAACTTATGTATAAATGTGGCTGATTTTTTCTCAAGCTGAGGAGACAGGATTTGCAGCAAGGAGGGGTGGGCCAGTGCCGGGGAGGTGATGGAGGGTCTGGAGTATGTAGGGGTACGTGGAAGGGCGGCCGAGCAGGGCCACTGCTGGCTGGAGCCCACCAGGAAGAAATCCCGAGGAACTGGGTCTTGGGGAAGGTGGGAGGCAGAGGGCATTCAGGGAAGATGGAGTAGCCCAGGGCGCTGGTCCCAGAGGGAGTGGGCGGGGTGAGGGCGCCCAGTGCCAGGCTAGAGTCCTGTGCTTTGGGCAAGCGTGGATTTGAGCTGGGACTGAGGAGAAGCAGGGCTTAGGGGAAGAGCTGCTATGATCTCTTGTATTTCCTTCCGCCTCTCACTGCACGGTGGTCCCGACCTCAGGGTGGTGCAGCGGGAGCCCTGGGCTGGACGTCAGAGGACCTGAGTCCAAGCTGTGGGGTCCTCAAACGAGGAACCTCAGTTCTCACCTGTGCTTAGGGCCAGGTAAGAGGAGGGCCATGGAAATCCTCCATGAGCGACACCACAAGCCTGGGAGAGGCCGTGGTCGCCACTCCGGAGTCGGGAGCCAGACTCTCAGACGTCCCGGCTCACGATTCAAGTCAGTAGGTTCGCATTAGGCCGCCCCGCGTCCACGCATATGGGAAGTAAAGCCCAATGGTCTGCTCCTTCCGTTCTCAGTGGAGATGAAAGTGTTGGAGCGTCCCCCTCCCCCAAGCAGGCTGCTGGGCAAGCAGTGGTGGCCCCCGCCCCCAGGAAAGGCCTGGCTTGGTCACCTCCAGCCCAGAGCCAGACAAATGGGGGTTTTCCCCTGAGGGCGTGGCCAGGCCCTTGGAAAACAGGCTTTTCTAGAACCAGAAGCCCACAGCTACGTCTGAGGCCGCTGGAGCTCCTGCTTCAGCATCCACCTACGGGCGAGGGGCAGGCAGTGACCCCCCACTCCGCTGGGTCACAGAGGCACGTGGGGGTGCCTAAGCCATGCATACCCAGGGCCAGGGCGAAGGGGGGTGGTCAGGAAACAGACAGGCCCTGCCTGGGCCTCTGAGCCACTCCCAGAGGGCGTGAGCCTGGGTGCAACTTTTCCAGAGACCTGTTTACCCGCAGGACCCGTAACCTGAAGCCCGCTCCTGCCCTTGGACTCAGCAATTTCATGTCTGGGAACGCCTCTTAGGAAGATCGTCAGGGGTGCTCACGAGCCTATATTACAGAACTGTTTGTTACAAACATGTTCTCATAGCAGGAGGGGATAGTCATACGATATAATGCCATCAGGCACTGGGGGGAAATCACAGTTTTGAAGGGCATTTGAAGTTGAAAACATACACACAAAACATCATACATATTATGTCCATTAACCCCAGAGGGTGCACAGACCCTGACCCTCCAGCCTCCCGCCGAGAGACAACTTCTGTTATTAATGTCTTGGGTATCTTTCTGGATGTATCTCACACACACGCACACACACACGCATTCTTTTTAGAGAGATGGCATCACGGTATGGTCCCGTCTTGCACCTTCGTGTTGTTTTCCTCTAACCATCTATCAGGGATCTTCCCGTGCTAGCAGATTAGACACAGCCGAGAGTCGCCCTGTTGTTTGCATATGTATGTTTTATTGAACCACCTGCTTCTCTGGGGGTCAGCGTATCGATGAGTCTGTCTCCTGAGTGTTTTGCTGATAGAATGTCGCGTGTGTGTCTGTCCTCATGTGTGTGTACATCTGCACGATGGATTGTGAATTTTGGTAGAGGTCGGAACATATCGTGAATTATACCATTCATTCATTCATTCATTCAACAGACGTTTAATGAGTGTCTACTCTGCAGTAGGGGCGGCTAGAAGTGGCTGAATTTTAGGCTGTAGAGTAAAAAAAGATGGATACCAAATTCCATATGCAAAACGGTCCCCAGTGTGTGTAAGAACAGGTGCATCCACAGGCAAGAAGATGTGGGCCTTCTAGATCTGGGGCAGGACAGACAGGTGCGGGGGGGCCCGCGGGAACACCCCAAGGTTCAGTGCCGTCTAAGTGCCCAGCGTGGTCTCTGGCACAGCTGGTGGCCAAGACATACATGCTGAATGAACAAGGGGGTTCAGAAAGGCCTCCCTGGGAGGGAGCTCTGAGGTCAGCCCTCAGTCCAGCACAGTTGTTATCCAGACCCATGGCAAACGGTAGAGGGGCCAGCGGGACAAAGGGCACGGGGCTGGGAATGCACCCAGGGCGTTAGGGGAATGCTTCGCAGGAAGAGGGTCCGGGAACCTTTGTCTTGTGCCTCTGTGACCTCGCAGTGCTGTGTCTCCCCAGTCCCGTTCCATCGGCCTCAATCCGCTGTGCGTCATGCTCCCCTGCACCCTGAGCGCGTCCTTTGCCTTCATGTTACCGGCGGCCACCCCACCTAACGCCATCGTGTTTGCCTACGGACACCTCAAGGTTTCTGACATGGTAACGCGGCCCTTCTATTGCTTCACCAGCTGTGACGTTCTGTCGTGAGGCTGGACGCCCCCTTTCTTGCTGACGTGTGACGTCGTAGGATGTGTCCAGTCCTGTACTCTTCATGTGCATTTATATGCAGCTTTGCTTCTCTTTGGCAATGATCTCAAATTTCATAGACCGTTCTGTCTCCCAGAGCTGAGAGGTGGGTTCCGGAAGCTCCCACCTGGGGAGCCCTCGCCGAGCCCTTGCAGGGGTGAGGGCGGGGTCCCACGTGGCCGGGATGGGCTTTGCAAACTAGCAAGAACCGTGACACCAGTCGGGAGGCGGAAAGAGAGAGAGAGAGAGAGAGAGACCACGGCCTAGGAGCCGGTGATGTCCTGGGAACAATGTGGACAAAGGAGGACCCCCTCTCTTCTGCTGTGTCTCGTCACCTGTGAGGGGAGGGGAAGCCAGAAACGGAGGCTTAGTTATTGCAGAGCCTCTGCTGGGCATCAGGACTCCCGGTGTCCCGTCGCCCTTGTTCGGACAGCCTGGCCCACCCAGGGGGTGCTGACTCTGACCCTGTTTTTCCCCCAGGTGAAAACAGGACTCATGATGAACATAATTGGAGTCTTCTGTGTGTTTGTGGCGGTCAACACCTGGGGACGGGTCATATTTGACTTGGATCATTTCCCTGACTGGGCTAATGTGACGAATATCGAGACTTAGGGACAGCTGCACATCACCCGCCCTCCTGAGGACCCCTGAGCCTTCCAGCACACCTTGCAGCAGAGTTTTGGGGTTCACTCCCCAAAGTGATCCCCCAAGTGATGCCCACACCCCCAAGGAGACCCAGCCAGGCCCAGGTTCAGAGCTGGGGACGGGCAGCTGCTGGGCGGAAGTGGAGGGAGCCTCCGGAGACACCGGGGCGTCTGTTTTTCCTGGGGGACCTGCCATCCCTTCTGGGACAGGTGGGCTGCAGAGGGACCAGGACGCAGGCCGCCAGCTGGCCGCAAGCTGGGCTCTGGTGTCCACTCGCTTAGTCCCAGGGTCATCGAGGTGGGGATCAGATCCCAGCTTGGGACGCAGGAGAGCGTGGGCCTCCTGCAGCTCGCCTCGGCTGCCTCCGGGCTCTCCTGTTACCTGAAGGGACAACCTCACCCACGATGTCTGATCCCGGGCAGCTTCCCACCACCGAGATCAGAGCCTCCTGGAACCACGGGGAGAATGGTGCTGCCACTGAAGGATGAGGAATTTGGGCAAGAACTTCTGGCCGCCTTGGCCCACAGCTGCTGGCTAACCTGCTCCACTCCTTACCTTGCTCCGTCTTAGCGGACAATCTGGACCCCTTCGCTGTCCTCCCACGCACCCCCTTTGTCGTGGGCCGACGTATGCTTGGACCCCCTGGCCGGGGCCCTCCAGCGCACCAGCTTCTCCCGGGCGGCTCGGCTTCTCCGGTCACACCACACAGCTGGGGTCACACTCCAAGTACGGGCAGCGATGGCTCCTTTGGGGCCCCCAGTGGGTATCTGGGGCCTCTGCCACCTGCAGGTGCAGAGTGGACGCGGCTGTTACCAGCCGAGAGCAGGGGCCCGTCAGAGCTGGTCATGGCAGAGCGTGAGTGCCCCTTTGCTGACCAGCCTTTGCAGCCGTGCTTGGTGGCCCCTGAGCATCTGAGGATGTGGGGGCACCACTTGCCGAGCGGCCACGGGGACCCTGTGACAGAGACGTGACAGACACCCAGCCCCACCCACCACCCTCCTTTTCTTTGTGCGAGAGAAGCGGGGGCAGGAGCATATTAGGTTCATTGACGGCATCGTTCAGGGCAGGGGAAGGTCGGGAACTCAAGGAAATGCTCTTGAGGACAGGGATGTCCCCTCGAGGACCAGGGTGTCTCCGGCTCCTGGGGTGGGGTGGTTCCTGACGGCCCCACGTGTCTTCCACGGGGAGGGGCGCTGGCTCCAGCTTTCTACCCTGGCAGGGGCCTCATCACCCCCCTCCCGTCCCTGGCGCTCCCTCCGGGTCTCTCCCGGGGTCCTTGCTGCGGCCCCGTGACATAGGCTAGTGTTGTCATGCTCAGCTGTCTCCCGAGGACTCCGAGGCTCCGAGGGGCCAATCATGTGTCCAAAGTTGTGTATTAAGTTAGTGGCACCTAGGGCCCCAACCGGACCTTCCACCATCGTGTCCACTGCTCCTCATCTAGCCGTTAAGGGCCTTGGTCCCCCAGGGGCCTGCAGGGAACGGTGAGCACGTCCACCCCACGGCCTGCCTGCTCAGGGGACAGTTTCGCGCGAGCTGCTTCCTCAGAGGCGGGCTCAGGACAGCGGGGGGCATCTAGCTGGAGAGAGCCGAGGGTGGCTGCCCATCCCCTCCAGGGCAAGCCGGGCCACTCCTGCCGTGGACGACTGAGGGTGGCCCCGGGGACCTGCGCTGCCTGCTGGTCCAGCTCCAGGACGCTGGCTGACCCAGAGCAGGCCCCCGTGCGTGCGGCCGGGAAGGAGTGAGCGATCCGTGCGGCCGGTCGGCGCACACCCAGGGGTCGTGAGGGAGGTCACCAGGGCCATCCGGGGTGGCCAGGCTGCGGCGGCGGGGAGGTGTGGGGCTCCACCCGGCCGGCAGCAAGCTGGCCGGGGGCTTCCGGAGAGCGGGCCCCCGGGCCGAGGACTCTGACCACAGGCTGATGCTGCACAACTTCTGAAGCCGGAGCTGCTCTGGAGTTTAGGGCCGATCAGGACTACATTTGGCTGCAGGTGACGGCAGCATGAACCAGGTGGGCGTTCAATGTCGACGGGACAGGGAGTCGGAGGGCCGCGGCTGCTGGGGCCGCGGGGCTCCTGAGCGCACCACGCCTTCACGGCCGCGCCCGAGCCTCGTGCATGCTGCACACACGCGTGTGCCCTGCAGGCAGGAGGAAGGGGCGGGACGGGGCCTGCTGCGTCCTCCCCTTTCTCGGGAGGCCAGCAGCCTGCCCTCCGCGTGTAACAGCCGCACTCGGGCGTTGACAAAGGCTAATCGAGCATCGAGCGTCGTCAGCGTATCATGAGACCAATCAGGACTCATCTCCTGGGCTCGGGGAATGGGCCTGCGTTTCCTTAAACCGGGAGGTTTGCACCCGCCAGGAAGTCTGGGTTCTGGCAGGAAAACAGTGGGGGTGCTGTAGGTTGGTGATGAACAGGGTCTGTACTCTGAACCTTTCAGGGGCTGCCCTCCCTCCAGGCTCCTCTCTGGGCCTCAGTTTCCACCAGGAAGGGACCCCTGTCTGGGGCTGCTACAGTGTGGCCCCCCGCCCCACGGGGGCTTGGCCTGGAGTCTGTTACTTGGCCCTCCTCTGGTCTTCGCCATTTGCTGGAAATCCTCTCAGACCTCTTCCCCGTCGACATTTTGCCTCTTACATTTTGTAACGAGGTTCTGCCCCAGACCCCTGTCCTCTCTTCTTAGCCCCTGGATCAGACATCTGGGCCCGAGGTTCGCTGAGCACACAATTCTGACCAGGACTGCTGTCTGAACTGGGCACCAGTGACTTACGACCCCACCAGGGCCCCGTGCCTTGCAGAGGTCTTCATCCACGACCCCAGAACTGGGGTGTTTCCCTGTCCCGCAGAGCTGAGACCTTGCTCAGGGCAAGATCCGAGGCTCCCTCCCCGGCAGGGCCAGTGAGCGGGTCCCTCCTCCCATCATGTCTCCCACGCCGGCCACTAACGGACAGCAAGAGGTCTGCTCTGGGCCCCGAGCTGGGAAGGAGCTCAGCAGCAGGTCCAGTCCTCAAAATGAATACAGGCATGTCCTTGCTCGTAGAAATAAAGACCAAATGCGGGACCGTCTGTTTAAAAGCTGAACGAGACAGTCCTCCTCTTGGCTCCGAACCGCGTCTTCAACATGCTCCCTCCCTCTGGTCCCACAGCCTCTTAAAAGCTGTGTCTCCCAAGCTACCAGGGAAGCTTCTTTTCAAAATAAAAATAAAAACAAAGTTCCTCTAAGATCACTCCTCCACAGCCCGGGAAGGATTTCCACGTCCTTCGATGGAAATCTTGTCATCAGGGTCTGAAACCCTTGCACTCAGACATTCAGTTTTATTTCTCTTGATGTCTGGACTCAGGATTCGGGTTCTCGCTTCCCTGGTCTGCTTGTCCGAACGCCCACGTCCATCCTTGGAGACGCAGGCTGCCTCTGGCTGGCTACCGTCCGGCACCTGCTTCTGGCTCTCGAACGAGGGTCGAGAAATACCAGAATTCAGTCTCAGAATCCTGTTATCCAATCAGGAAAGCTTGGCTAGTTTTTGCCTTTAAGAAGTTAACAGCAAACCCATACAAGAAACCCCCATAGTGCAAAACAGGATTGAGAGGTGACCCTCCGGCACAGATCGAGGCCTCCCACCGCCCCCACCCAGGAGGGAGTTTGCCCACAGTGTCTCCCACGACCTTCCGGAAACATCCCCTATATGTAAGCTTCTGCCGTAGATGCACGTCCTCTTCATCACACGGGGGAGCATCCCCACGTAGCGTGTGTCCTCGTTTCCACCCCTCCCCTTAATTTATTTGGAGATCATTCCATTTCAGGACCTATTAATTGTGACTATCTTTTCATTCAATAGTTGATTTTGTTTTAAATTGAGGTAACATGAAATTCGGCGAATTGCACAGATCTTGAGTGTACCGTTTGGTGTTTTAGACACCTGCATGCACCTTGTAAACGACACCCCCCCTTCCAGTACCCCGCCCCTCCCCCCAGGCACGGGCCCATTTTGCTCCTTGAACTTCATACAAATGGAACGTAATGTACATACTTGTTCGTGTCCGACATATTTGCTGAACAAAACACTTCTGATATTCATTCCTTTGTTATTGTTGATGAGTGGTGCTCTGTGGTGTGAATAGGCCACGGTTGGTTTGACCTTCGGGGTGTCCCAGTTTGGGGCTATCGTGAATAAAGCTGTTAAGCTCTCTGCAGGAGCCTGTTTGTGGACATGTGTTTTCGTCTCTCTCTGGTGCGTGGCCGGGAGTAAGCCCCAGCCTTCTTGGAAAGTGCGTCATATTCCATCGTGAGCCCAGCTAAGAAACAAGTCCCTACTGACGGGTCCCTGCCAGTGTTTCCCTAACACTGTAACAAACGTGTCCCTGCTTACATCTGCGTGAACCTACGTAGGGAGAGCACTTTCCTGAAGGGTGGGCTGGATGAAAGGCTGTGTGCACTTAAGGCTGGGACAGATGCTCCCCAGGTGCTTTCCAAAGAGGCCTGGCCTGTATTTATTCCCGAAAACTGCATGAGGCCTTATTCTCGCACATCTGAGCAACTCTGTGTATGATCAAACTTCTCAATCTTTGCCAATCTGACACTTGAGAAATACTCTCTCATGATTTTCATCCCATTTCCTTAAATTACATAGAATAAGCAACATCAATTTTTTTTCACATATTTATAACCCGTTTGTGTCTCTTTTTTTGGTGAACTCCCTCTTCCCCACTTTTTTTCAAGAGTTTTTTAAAAAGCCTTTTTCTTATTCATTTGTAAGAGCTCTTTATATATTAAGGAAACTAGTCATTTGGCATAGGAATATTTATAGTGTATGTTAAGAAGCTAGTTACTCTCTATTCTTCTTCATAATCTCCCCCCAACCCCCACCCTAGCGATTCTCACAAACTTTTCATAAGAATTTCCGAATCAGCTTCTAGTTCCAAAAACAACCTGGCCAGCATTTACCTCTCCGGCCATCTCTCCTACCGCTCTCCCTCCCTCTGCAGGGTTTCTTGCACGTGTCCCTACTTACATCTGCGTGAACCTACGTGGGGAGAGCACTTTCCTGAAGGGTGGGCTGGACGAAAGGCTGTGTGCACTTAAGCCTGGGACAGATGCTCCCCAGGTGCTTTCCAAAGAGGCCTGGCCAGTATTTATTCCCGAAAACTGTGCACGCACTGTTGGAGTTTGGGGCCAAAACAATTCTTTGCTGTAGGGAGCTGTTCTGTGCCCTGTGGGGTATTCAGCAGCGTCTTGGCTTCTATTCACCGGAGGCCAAGAGCAACCCCGCACCCCTACCCCGCCCGTGACAATGAACCACGGCTCCATGCAGTGCCAAGTGTCTGGAACTGTGGACTCAGCCGGACTCCTCGCTGCTCCCAGAGCCCGCGGGGTACACCCCTGCCCCACTCCCTGGGGCTCTGTTCATCCTCCAGCGTTTGATAGAATTCTGTCCTCAGGTTCTCTCTTCCGTCTGTCTCTGCCCCACCTTCAGCAGGGTAAGCCTCACGAGGACAGCGGGGTTTTGACTGTTGATGTGTACTCGGTGCCTAGACCGCATCTGGGGCGTAGTGGGGGCTGACGCGTTGGGGTTCTTTTCATTCAATAGTTAGTTTTGCTTTTAAATTGGATAAATGAGGGGCGCTGAACCTTCGGTTCAGGTCATGATCCCGGGGTCCTGGGATCAAGCCCCACGTCGGGGGTCCCTGCTCTGCGGGGAGTCTGCTTCTCCCTCTCCCTCTGCCGCTCCCCCTGCTTGTGCTCTCGCTCTCTGTCAGA